GGGAGGGGTTATGGACGGGGGAGGGGGTTATGGACGGGGGAGGGGGTTATGGAAGGGGAGGGGGTTATGCACGGGAAGGGGGTTATGGACGGGGAGGGGGTTATGGACGGGGGAGGGGTTATGGACGGGGGAGAGGGGTTATGGACGGGGGAGGGGGTTATGGACGGGGGAGGGGGTTATGGACGGGGAGGGGCTATGGATGGGGGAGGAGGTTATGGATGGGGGAGGGGGTTATGGATGGGGGAGGGGGTTATGGACGGGGGAGGGGTTATGGACGGTGGAGGGGATTATGGACGAGGAGGGGGCTATAGACGGGGAAGGGGTTATGGACGGGGGAGGTGGTTATGGACGGGGATTGGTTTTTAGACGGGGGAGGGGGTTATGGACGTGGGAGGGGTTATGGACGGGGGAGGGGGGTTATGGACGGGGGGCGGGGTTATGGACCGAGAGGGGGCTATGAATGGGGGAGCGGGTTATGGATGGGGGAGGGGGTTACGGATGGGTGAGGGGTTATGGACGGGGGAGGGGGTTATAGACGGGGGAGGGGGTTATGGATGAGGAAGGGGTTGTGGACGGGGGAGGGGTTATGGACGGGGGAGAGGATTATGGACGGGGGAGGGGATTATGGACGGGGGATGGGGTTATGGATGGGAAGGTGGTTATTGACTGGGGGGGGGGTTATGGACCGAGAGGGGGTATGAATGGGGGAGGGGGTTATGGATGGGGAGGGGGTTCCGGATGGGGAGGGGGTTATGGACGGGGGAGGGGGTTATAGACGGGGGAGGGGGTTTTGGATGAGGTGGGGTTGTGTGGACGGGTGAGGGGGTTATGGACGGGGGAGAGGATTATGGACGGGGGAGGGGGGGTTTTGGACGGGGGATGGGTTATGGATAGGGAGGGGGGTCATTGATGGGGAGGGGTTATGGACGGGGGAGGGGGTTATGGATGGGGAGGGGGGTTATGGACGGGGAGGGGGTTATGGACGGGGGAGGGAGATATGGACGGGGGAGGAGGTTATGGACGGGGGAGGGGGTTATGGATGGGGAGGGGGTTATGGACGAGGGAGGGTTTTTTTTAACGGGGGAGGGGGTTATGGACTGGGGAGGAGGTTATGGACGGGGGAGGGGGTTAAAGGGCGGAAGAGGGGGTTTTTGGACGGGGAAGGGGGTTATGGACGAGGAGGGGTTATGGATTCGGAGGGGGTTATGTACGGGGGAAGGGTTTATGGATGGAGAGGGGGTTATGGACGGGGAGGGAGTTATTGACGGGGAAGAGGATTTTGGGGCGGGGGAGGGGGTTATGGATTGGGGAAGGGGTCATGGATGGGGAGGGGGTTATGGACTGGGGAGGGGGTTATGGACGGGGGGAGGGGGTTATGGATGGGGAGGGGGTTTTTTGACGAAGAGGAGGGGTTTTGGACAGGGGGGAGGGTTATGGACAGGGGAGGGTTTTTATGGACGGGGAGGGGTTATGGACGTGGAAGGGGTTATGGACGGGGGAGGGGTTATGGACCGGGGAGGGGGTTAAGTTCAAGGAGGGTGTTATGGACGGGGAGGGGGTTATGGGCGAGGGAGGGGGTTTATGGACGGGAAGGGGGTTATGGACGGGGGAGGGGGTTATGGACGGGGAGGAGGTTATGGACGAGGGATGGGGGGGTTTATGGACGTGGGAGGGGGTTATGGGCGTGGAGGGGGTTATGGACGCGGAAGGGGGTTATGCACGGGGAGGGGTTATGGACGGGGAGAGGGTTTTGGATGGGGAGGGGGTTATGGACGGGGAGGGGGTTATGGATGGTGAGGGGTTATGGACGGGACGGGGTTATGGATGGGGAGTGGGTTATTAATGGTGGAGGGGGTTTTATGGATGGGGAGGGGTTATGGATGGTGGAAAGGGTTATGGACGGGAAGGGGGTTATGGATGGGGAGGGGGTTATGGATGGGGAGGGTGTTATGGACGGGGAGGGGGTTATGGACGGGGGAGGGGGTTATGGACGGGTGAGGGGTTATGGAGGGGAGGGGGCTATGGATGGGGGAGGGGGTTATGGACAGGGGAAAGGGTTATGGACGGAGAACGGGTTATGGACGGGGGATGGGTTATGGACGGGGGAGGGGGTTATGGACAGGGAGGGGGCTATGGATGGGGGAGGAGGGTTTTGGATGGGGGATGGGGTTACGGACGGGGGAGGGGGGTTATGGGCGGGGGAGGGGGTTATGGACGGGGAGGGGATTATGGACGAGGAGGGGGGTATGGACGGGGAAGGGGTTATGGACGGGGGAGGGGGTTATGGACGGGGAGGGGTTATAGACGGGGAAGGGGTTATGGACGGGGAGGGGTTTATGGACGGGGAGGGGGTTATGGACGGGGGAGTGGGTTATGGATGGGGGAGGGTGTTATGGACGGGGGAGGGGGTTATGGACGGGGGAGGGGGTTATGGACTGGGGAAGAGGTTATGGACGGGGGAGGGGGTTATGGACGGGGGAGGGGGTTATGGACGGGGAAGGGGGTTATGGGCGGGGAGGGGTTATGGACGGGGAGGGGTTAGGGGTGGGGAGGGGGTTATGGACAGGGGAGAGGGTTATGGAGGGGAGGGGGTTATGGACGGGGAGGGAAATTATTGACGGGGAAAGATGATTATGGACGGGGGAGGGGGTTATGGACTGGGGAGGGGGGTCATGGATGGGATGGGGTTATGGAATGGGGAGGGGGTTATGGACGGGGGAGGGGGTTATGGATGGGGAGGGGGGTTTTTGACGAAGAGGAGATTATGGCAGGGGAGAGGGTTATGGACAGGGGAGGGGGTTAATGAACGGGAAGGGGGGGTTTTGGACGTGGAAGGGGTTTATGGACGGGGGAAGGGGTTATGGGCCGGGGAGGGGGTTATGGGCGAGGGAGGGGGTTATGGACGGGGAGGGGTTATGGACGGGGGAGGGGGTTATGGACGGGGAGGAGGTTATGGACGAGGGATGGGGTTTTTGGACGTGGGAGGGGGTTATGGGGGTGGAGGGGGTTATGGACGCGGAGGGGGTTATGGACGGGGAGGGGTTATGGACGGGGGAGGGGTTATGGATGGGGAGGGGTTAGGACGGGGAGGGGTTATGGATGGCGAAACGGTTATGGACGGGGACGGGGTTTGGATGGGGAGTGGGTTATGGATGGTGGAGGGGGGGTTTTGGATGGGGAGGGGTTATGGATGGTGGAAAAGGGGTTATGGACGGGAAGGGGGTTATGGATGGGGAGGAGGTTATGGATGAGGAGGGGGTTATGGATGGGAGGCGGTTATGGACGGGGAGGGGGTTTAGATGGGGAGGGGGTTATGGACGGGAAGGGGGTTATGGACGGAGAGGGGTTATGGATGGGGAGAGGGTTATGGATGGGGAGGGGGTTATGGATGGGAAGAGGGTTATGGACAGGGAGGGGTTATGGACAGGGACAGGGGTTTTTGGGTGGGGATGGGGCCGATGGATGGGGAGGGGAGTTTGGATGGAGGAGGGAATTATGGAATGGTGAGGGGAGTTATGGATGGGGAGCGGGGCTATGGATGGGGAGGGGAGATATGAATGGGGGAGGGGGTTATGGATGGGCGAGTGGCTTGTGGATGAGGGGAGGGGGGGTTATGGATGGGGAGGGGGGTATGGATGGGGACGGAGGCTATGGTGGGGAGAGAAGTTATGGATGGGGAGGGGGGTTATGGATGGGGAGGGGAGTTATGGATGGGGGAGGCGAGTTATGGATGGGGAGGGGGTTATGGATGGGGACAGGCTTAGGATGGGAAGGGGGTTATAGATGGGGAGTTGGTTATGGGTGGGAGATGGGGTTACGGATTGGGGGGGGAGTTATGGATGGGGAGGGGGGTTATGGATGGGGAGGTGGCTATGGATTGGGGGAGGAGTTATGGATAGGGGGGGGGGGTTATGGAATGGGAGGGGGCTATGGATAGCTTAGAGGAGTTATGGATGGGGAGGGGAGTTATGGATGGGAGGGGAGTTATGCATGGGGAGGGGGCTATGATTGTGATGGGGAGTTTGGATGGGGAGGGGAGTTATGGATTGGCAAGGGAGTTATGGATGGGGACGGGGGGGGTGGGGAAAGGGGAGGAGAGTTATGGATGGGGAGGGAGTTATTTGGGCGGGGGAGGGGAGTTATGGATGGGTAGGGGGTTTTTTAGATAGGGGAGGGAGCTAAGAATGAGGGAGGGGAGTTATGGATGGGGGAGGGAGTTAAGATGGGGGGGTTGGCTATGGATGTGGAGGGGAGTTATGGATGGGAAGGGGAGTTTGGATGGGGAGGGGGGCTATGAAAAGGGGGAGGGGAGTTATGGATGGGGAGTGGAGTTATGGATGGTGGAAGGGAGTTATGAATGGAGGGGGAGTTAGGATGGGGAGTGGAGTTATGGGGTGGTGGAGGGAGTTAGAATGGGAGGGGGAGTTATGGATGGGGAGTGGAGTTATGGTTTGGGGGAGGGAGTTATGAATGGGGGGAGTTGATGGGGT